TGCCTTTTCTCAGCAAGAGGAATGTAGAATCCACTCCCTCCCTATTTCTTTAGCAGTCAGGTCAGTGTCAACTGTTCGGGAGCCATCACATCATACAATCATTGGCTTCGCCCTTTTTCGAAACTGGGGCATGGTCAGACCCTGAAGGGGCGTGGCAACTTTGATTGTTGGTCTAATTGGGCTAGAGGACTTCTAAAACCCATCCGTGGATTCTACATTCCTCTTGCTGAGAAAAGGCGTTCAGGTAAGACAACGCCTATTCTATTCTATTCTATTCTATTTTCTATTCTATTCTATTCTATTCTATTCTATTCTATTCTATTCTATTCTATTCTATTCTATGTACTACTTATCAAGAGCAGTTAACCTAGGAAATAAGTGCAAGCCAGACACAGCAACTGTTGCAAGTGCAATCTGCTTCCCAAGTGTCCAGGTTGAGATCATGTGACTGCATGGATGCTGCAATGGTTGTAAGTGTGAGGACTGGTCATAAGTAACTTTTTTCAGCACCATCATAACTTCGAACAGTTAAACAAATTGTCACTTAGCAAGACCTACTGTGTTGTTTGTGAAGTTGCAGAGTTCTCTCCTAGACATTGTACTATTCATTATTTTTGTTAATACAGAATTGAGGAAATAACTAATCAAAACAATATCAACAGACTAGGAAAATGAACATAAAATAACAGCATAGAATTTAATTGCAAAAAATTCCTTTAGAAAAAAATCAAATGCTAGTTTGTTTATAGTAGGAGAATACCTTGAAATTGTATTTTATCAAGTAAAGCAGTATGATATGCCTGCAAGAGATACAGACATAATTTTAGTTTGTACTTATAGAAGTATTGTTTTCAAATCTTGGAAAGTAATAATTTTGCTCCATATTGAATTCCTCAGACCCCACCTCAAGTACTATTTCCAATTTAGGACACCCTAAGGTGACATTTGTGGTGGAGGGAAGAGCAAACAAGCTATAAGAATGGTTAAGGAAGGGATTGGAAACTAAATTTAAGGTTGAAAGGCTGAGAGACTGGGGTATTGTGTTACGACATGAAAAAGCTATAGAGAAGCATACATTTTAAAACTGTAAGTCACTCAGAATTACTTGGTTGAGTTGGGCAGTTATAGAGAATGAATGAATGAATAAATATTCCTGATTATCTATGGAAGTATAACTGTTTAATCAACTTCAGATTTAAAAGAGCTAGAAAAAATTGAACCCTCCAAGCTGAGGAAAAATGTCAGCTTGTTCAAAAAAGCTAGTGAAAGCAAAGACTCAGAATGAACGAAGACTTGCAACAGAAATCAAGGATAATAAAAAAAGTTTCAACATATTAATAACAAGAAAAAAGTCAAACTTATTTTGTAATCTTAAAGTGTAGTTTGTCTTTTCCATATCTAGAGTTTCTTGTAAATTTTTTTCCATCTGACTTAAGTCATATTTCCTTGTATTGTTAAATTCCATCTTGAAATCTCTCTCCTCTGTCTCGTAGTCAGTTGTCTGTTTTTTCTGCTTACTCTCTATTTTTTATTTTCTGAGAATTTTTATGTTGTAAAGTTAAATTGGAGATGTGTTCATTTATGTTTTCCTCGTGGTTTGAGATTATTGTTGTTTGAATTAATTGCAACATAGCATAGATCTCCTTCTGGAAAGTATTTGTTTTTTCTTGGTATATTCTTTCTGCAGATCTCTGGTTTTCCATGATAGCCCAAAATCAAAGTTTTTCTTTCTCTGCAGACAGCTTTAGAGTCACAGTTGAGTTAGTATTTGTAATCCAGAAAAGTCAATTCTTTTTTTTTTTAGAGTTTATAATTCTCATTTTGTAGAAAGCCCAAGATGTTTTCTTTCTTTTTTCTTTTTAGTCACAGCTGTTCTTTGTTATTAAGACTTTGAAGGTCACCAAAATCAAAGTTATCTTTTCCTGGGCCTTGCCAGTCTCTGTAGTAAAGCAGCTGTTGTTGTATATTTTCATCAACCATTAGATGTCAGCACCAGTTCTTTCAGTAATAGACAATTATTTACTTCTATTTTCATGATATAAAAGGAAAATCTTAACAGATTCCACCGATTTCAAACTTATCCAAATTAAGTCTTATAGTCTTTTCATTTCAATATATTTTTATTCCCCCTGAAAGGTTTAATTCACCGCTTTCGTCTGCAGGAGGGTGGGGTAAAAGTCCCCCTCTTTCTCACTTTTAGAGGCTTTTTGCTTCTTGGGGTTTTTCTCCCCCCCCCCCCAGGAAATCAATTTCCAAATATGAGAGAGAAAATCACTGTTCTTACCCAGTTCCAAATACGTTGTTTACAGTCAGCTTGAAGTAGTACTTTTGGATTTCGGTTGCTTGTAGCTTGGGCTAGACTCGGAAGCTAGCCTCTTCTCCTGCTGGTTTCTGGAGGACTTTTCCCAAACCGATCAGATCAATCGCTATCTCTCCGCAATCGGTGGGACTTCCCCCCTCTACGGGGCAACTTCAGGCCCATTTTGTCAATGCTGCAAATACTGTATATTCTTGCTTTGACAATATGCAGAACTGTCTGGTATTTTTAGGGTTAATGCAGAGTAGAAGAGGGTGGGGGGAAAAGCCCGGGAAAGAAAGAGGAAGGAAACCTTTGACCTTCACATTAATTGGATAACGTGATATATGACAGCTAATTTAGGGAGGGAACATGCTGATAATTTAACTGCTCAGAGGAAATGAATTTCAGTTCTTAGCATCAACTTCGTTGTGCCTGTGCCGACATTTTGTAACAATAAATTACTTTTAGGAAAATCAATGCCTGGAAGTTCTTTGAAGTGTTTCATTAGCCGGAACCATAACACATTTAGGGTCCGCTGGCAGGCAGAAATCAGCCGTAGGGAGCGGAGCCCTGTGATCCCTCGGCTGCTGCGCTACTGTGCAAAACTGAAAGTCTTCTACTCTACTCTACTCTACTCTGCTCTACTCTACTCTACTCTACTTAATAATAACAACAACAACAACATAAAAAGTTGGAAGGGACCTTGGAGGTCATCTAGTCCAACCCCCTGCTCAGGGAGGAAACACTATACCCTTTCAGACAAATGGCTGTCCAGTCTCTTAAAAACTTCCAGTTTTGGAGCATTCACAGCTTCTGGAGGTAGGTTGTTCCACTGTTTAATTGTTCTAACTGTCAGAAAATTTCTTCTTAGTTCTAGGTTGCTTCTCTCTTTGGTTAGTTTCCATCTGTTGCTTCTTGTCCTGTCTTCAGGTGCTTTGGAGAATAGCTTGACTCCCTCTTTGTGGCAGCCCCTGAGATATTGGAACACTGCTATCATGTCATCCCTCGTCCTTCTCTTCATTAGACTAGACATACCCAATTCTAGCAACCGTTCCTTATATGTTTTAGCCTCCAGTCCCCTGATCATCTTTGTTGCTCTTCTCTGTATTCTAGAGTCTCAACATTTTTTTTACATCGTGGTGACCAAAACTGGATGCAGTATTCCAAGTGTGGCCTTACCAAGGCATTGTAAAGTGGTATTAACACTTCATGTGATCTTGATTCTTTCCCTCTATTAATACTGTATTGGCTTTTTTGGCAGCTGTAGCACACTGCTGGCTCATATTTAAGTGATTGTCCACTAGGACTCCAAGATCCCTCTCACAGTTGCTACTATTGAGCAAGGTACCACCTACACTATACCTGTGCATTTGGTTTTTCTTGTCTAAATGTAGAACCTTACTTTTTTCACCATTGAATTTCATTTTGTTAGATAGCGCCCAATGTTGAAGTCTGTCAAGATCCTTCTGTATCTTAAATCTATCTTCTGGAGTTTTGACTATTCCTGCCAGCTTGGTGTTGTCTGCAAATTTGATGAGTTCCCCATCTATTCCCTCATCCAAATCATTGATGAAGATGTTGAAGAGCACTGGGCCCAGAACAGTGCCCTGGGGCACCCTACTACACACTCCCTCCATGTAGATGCAGTTCCATTGAGGACCACACGCTGAGTACGGCTGGTCAGCCAGCTACAAATCCATCTGGTGGTGATGCTGTCTAACACACATTTTTCTATCTTATCAAGTAGTAGGTTGTGGTCTACTTTATCAAATGCCTTGCTGAAGTCCAAGTAAATTATATCCACAGCATTCCTCTGGTCCACTAATTTTGTCACCTGGTCAAAGAATGCAATAAGATTTGTCTGGCATGATCTGTTTTTGACAAACCCATGTTGGCTTTTAGTAATGACTTTGTTTGCCTCTAGGTGTTCGCTGATTCGTTGCTTGATTATCTTTCCAAGATCTTCCCAGGTATTGAGGTCAGGTTGATAGGTCTGTAGTTTCCTGGATCCATTTTTTCCCCTTTTTTGAACATGGGAACTACTTCAGCTCTTTTCCAGTCCTCTGGTAGTTCCCCCGTGCTCCAGGATCTTTGAAAGATATAGTTCAGTGGTTCTGAGATCACATCTGCCAGTTCCTTCAGAACCTTGGGGTGTAATCTATCTGGTCCTGGTGATTTGAACTCATCTAGGGTGGACAGGTGCTCACTTACCATTTTCTTACCTATCTTAACTTGTGTTTCTAATCTGTTTTTTATGGCACTATTTTTGATAGATTGGACTGTTTTTTCGCTTTGTGTAAATACGGATGCAAATTCTAGTTGTAAATATGGATTCTATTCTATTCTGCTCTGCTCTGCTCTGCTCTACTCTACTCTACTCTACTCTCTCAAGAAAGATCAGTCCAAATGCGCATGTAAAATAAAAAAGAATTCATTACTTTCATTTTATTGTTAATTCAGTGTTTTGTACAGCAAGTGCATTCACAGTGAAATTTGCAATTAGAGTAAAAAGATTCTGTAGGAGAAATAAATTCCGTATCCCCAGTACCCTCTTTATGAGGGGAAAACAGAATGGAAGGCTAGAGCCAAACCATTCAAGCCCTATGTTTCAGTCCCCAATGTACTGAATGTGGAATGTATCTTTGGATGCAATCCTTCTTGAGAGGAATCTGTTAATTTTCTTTAATTCTTTCTATTAAAGATATAGAGTGCAAAGCAGAACCTCTGTCACCAACTGCTTCAACAGATTCAGTTCCTTCTCCTTTACCTGTGGACTCTCCAGTACAACATGTACCTGTAAGTAATTTCTTTTGGCTAGTTAGATGCAATGAAGTAATATTTAACAAGATTAATATTCAAAATAATCTTTATTATCATCAACTAATCCAGATGCAAAGAAACAATTGCATTGCTGGTTAACTTTTCCTTTATTGCTGGCATGGGTTCTTTGCAAGTATCTGGGAACCAATCAGCATTCAGAAGGAATGATGCAAAGAGTTCTGAAATCCAAGGTTAGGAGACTTGCCGGAGTCAGTGAGTGAGATCTTGCTGTCTGAAGATAAATTTGCCAAATCTGAGAACTGAGACGATCTGTTAGATCTGCACGTTTGTGGCCTCAACAGCATTCCTCGTCTCCTTTATTCTGTGTTTCTACCCTATTCTTTTATTCACCCCATCAACTTCTGTGGTAGTTGGAGGACTTGCAGAGTTTTGGACTAAAATGCAAATAATTTCTTGGCCTAGTTTAGAATTTTTGAGGTCTCCTGTGTTATGCAAAAGTGTTTTAAATGCGTTGTAACTAAAGTATACAGTAACTGGGAAAAATAGTTCTGCCAGTGTGTATTTGTCTTTTGCTTGTTTGTTGTAACAAGAAGAATTACAATATTTGTAATTTTTTTAAACATTCCCAGGAAGGTGTGGAGTTTGGCACTAATTCTCACTTATCCATTGCATCTTTATATGACAAACACAGCTCCAGATCATCATTACCTAAAGAGCAAACTGAGAAGTCCCCACCTAAAATTATGCGTTGTTCAGGTATGATTTTTATTTGCCCATTTTCCAATATGGGAATAATAACAGTGATCTAAATTAGTAAGAATAACTAAGAATTTTGTCTTTCACTCAGTTAAATATCATGTAGATGTTTTCATTGGTTTGCTTAGATCTAAGTACATTTGCACATGCACAAAATAGTTCCTGAGAATCATACTTTGTTTTTTGATTATGTATGCTTATATAATAGGTGGTATTATTATAGAAAAGATACTTCATCATAAAGACATAATCCCTATTGCTCACATTTTTTTTACAAATAATTGCATTAAATGGATTTAGAAACTTGCAGCCATATAAATTGGCACTTTTAAAAACTTTTAATTAGCTGAATTAAACAGTGCTGCCATACTGTTTTGTGAATTAAAATATAATGTAGAAGTAGTGTTAGTTGAGAATAATTAGGTTTTGCCACTTTTCTTTCTATAATGTCTTCCTTGTTTGTGATTTTTAAATGGAGGTGTGCAGTAATATATCAGCATTTCTACAGCTAAAACATAATAAGAAACAGTTGCTGTAGTTAAGGCTGTTCATTTATTTTCAAGTGTGTAGAACCACTAGGCTGATTAGACTATAATGTTATGCTAAGTACACAATCAATTGAACTTAATTCGCTATTCCTCTCTGGTTAGGCTTATCTTTCCATTTAAACTAGAGACTGTGCTTGAAAGCAAACTGTTTAATAAATGGTGTACCACTTATTTGAAGTTGGCCAGATCACCTTTTCTAATTTATATTAAGAATAAGCCAGGATTTGAGCAACTTAAAAGCCAATACAGTTATTGCATTGAAGGAAGAGAAGGGAGTGTACAAATGCCAGGCTTTACTTGGTCTGATGCCAGCTGACATGTTTGAACCAGCCCATATATTATGAATAAGTAAAGTGTGTATTCTTTAAAGGCAGGTTTGATCCCTGGTTGTGTTGTACAGTTCCCTTCATTTAATGAAGTTCCTCTTCCTGACCTCCTTGTTGTCAGCACTATTTCTATTGAACGTCAGACAATTGCATGAGGAGGAATATAACCTTTTTTAAAAAAGAAATCTACTTCAAATGCACATTCTCTTCTACAGCAAATGGATCATCGATGACTATTAATCGAAGTAATCCAGCAGCCTCAAAACCGTTAATTCAGCCCAAGCCTCCGTTGCGTGCTTTTTGTGAGACTCAGCCTAATCTCCAGGCAAAAGCCATTGTCATTCCAGCTCTTCCCACTCTCCTGACGCTGTCCAAGCAGCAGCCAGTTGTAACTATCCAGCCAGCACCTCCAAAAGGTATATGAGTTAAGATTGCAATGGGATGCATACCAGGTCTGTTGACAGGATTTAGCAAGTGATGTGGAATGTGTGATATGCAGACACTGCAGTTTCCTAAGAGAGGATTGCTAAGTATTTTGGAGGTAGAATTCCTTTAAATGGGTGCAGTTTTAATAGGTCCAACTTTTAAACTTACGTTAGTTTTCTGTCAGCATCTAGTGGCAAACATATCAAGTTCTGTGTCTAAAAGGGCTTTTTGGAGCAAAATTGAAGTGAAAAGAGTAATTTAATTTCCAAGTAGCAGGATTCTTGATCTCTGATTACAGGTAGTCATTTTTTAAAATAATGTTTTATTGATTTTCTAATTTTACATTTAAGTATTCAAAAAGCAACGTGGCGGCTGGGCCAATCAATAATACAATAACATACAAATATCTTCAGTACAAATCTCAAGCTATTACATCAAAATTTTCCTCTCTTTTCCCCTCAGTATTCACTGTCTCCTGTCTAAACTAATACAATTCTTATTAAATCGATTAAATAAAAATGACATTCTTAAATTTATCAATAATTTTTGGCTTATACATCTCATTATTATTTTAACATTCAGTCTTTATAGACAATCAATGTCCTAATTAGTTTTCCCAATTTTTAATTTCCCGTTAATGTTTAACTTTAACATTTAGTATTTATAATTTCCAAGTTTTAAGTAACAAGTTCCCATTATCACAATTCATCACAAAATCTAATATTCAGAATACACATCTTATCTATTTGAATATATTCTATTTCTCACCATCTTACATCAACTAATTGATAATACAGTATAACATTCTTATTTTCTATTAATTTCCAAACATCTTAAATTTAGTAACCAAATTTTCTCTTATTTCAACAACAAATACTTCCTCTCTTTTTCTCTTGGTGTCTATTTATCTCATATTTGAGCTAGTACAGTTTTTATTATATCAGCTAAGTAAAAACATGTTTATTACAGTTATCAAAATATTTTTAGCTTATATATATATCTTAATTAGCTTTTACATTCAATCTTTATAAACAAATCAATATTCAAATTTAACTTTTAATATTTATACTTCCAAATTTTCTTCAGCCTTATTCTAGCTTTCTTTCTTTGCTAATTCATCTTCCATATCTGTGCTTTTAGGTCATCATATAGATCTCCCTCTATTATTATGTATATTGTTTGAAATAAGAAAAGCCATCCAATCACCATTTTTTAAAAGGTGCTAACAAATCGTCTCTCTATTTTTCTCTCTCGGCGTAGTTGTCCTGAAATGTTTATCTTCCCTTCGGTCTGTTCTTCTTCTTGATCCTCAGGTTTCTTCTGGTTTATACAGAAAGTCTTTTCCATTTTCAATGTTGTCAATCCTTTTTCTGAGTTTTCCATTAACTGTGTTTGTTGATCAGTTGAATCTTCTATCATAGTATTTAATTGCTCCACTTCCTCTGTTATATTCTGTGTAGTTAATTCTTTGGTTGTAATCAAAGTTTGGGTTCGTATATCTAGGCTGACATCTTGTTCTTTTCTGTAGCCTCTTATTTCATCAGTGGCTTTAAGAATAGTTTCATGAATTGCTTTCAGCGTAAATAAAATCTGTTCCTGATCTTCATCCATGTTCTCTTAATGGTGTGAATTAAGAGCTTTACAATCAGAGAGTAAGAATAATTGTATCACTGAGTATAGAACACAGCTCGGCTTCTCACAGCTGATTGCCAAGGTTACAAAAGTCTTATCTATAGTCTGGGCTTCAAGCCAAGTCTCTTCTAGACAATAACAGATTGCAATATCAGATTTAGCCACAAGATGTCACCCATACCGTTTAGGATTTTTTTTTAAGTCCAAGATTTTTATAGCCCTTTTTTCCAATTTTACTTCTTTTTTGTAAATAAAAACCCAAATCTTCAATAAGGATAGGAAATCTTTTAGTCCTCAAATTTTAGAAAGATAAAAGTCCAGTTAAAATCAGGTTGTAGTAACAACGTTTTAAACTCCCCTGGATAGTCAGTCGCTGCTGTTTTTGGAGGGTGGGATAAAGTTTCCCTTCCCTCTCTCCGCAGGGGGGAAAATACCTTGGGCAGCTTATACAGGTGGAAAAAATAATTCAGGTTAAACAGAGGTTCGGATCTCAGCCAGTCTCATCCGCGCTGCTTTATAGATGCCTGGTGGTAAGTTTGACTTCGGCTGTCTGCAGCCTAGTGATGAGCCATATTGCTATGGCCTGTCTTTCGTCCGCCGGTTTGGAAGGCTGCGCCGGATCGAATGGAAGGGCTACCGCCCTCCCGTGATCAAGCGGGAATCCCTTCCCCGACTTTTGACCCTTTCCAGGGTCTCCCAGCAATGCGAAATTGGACGTGGAAGACTGAGCTCACCTTCCAAATGTCCGCGGCGGCCACAGCGGCAAACCAGAAGTCCCAATTACAGGTAGTCATTGCTTACCAATTGCTCATTCAGCGACTGTTCAAAGTGACAAGGGCACTAAATAATGAGACTTACAACTGGCCCTTGAAGTTGCAGATGTCACAGTGCCCAGTGGTTATGTGATTGTGATTTGGGCGCTTGGCAACTGGCAGGTATTGTTGTGATTCCGTGCCAGCCTGTGTTCCCAACAGCTGAGTCTGGGGAATCTGAGGAGGAGGTGGAGGAGGCCGTTGAGGGGCCATCAGGGTCAGAGGGAGGCTCTGATGAATTACAGGACTCACGGCTTGATGAAGAGCCTGGCCCCTCCAGCCGTGTTTCTGATGAAGCTCAGCTGTGTGAGGAGCATGAGTCAGATTCGGAAGGCTCACACCTGGATGTGCTAATTGATGCTCGCAGACGTCGTCAAGTAGCGAGAGAAAAACAACAACAGTCTATGCGACTACTCCAAAGTAAAAGGAGAAGGCAATGAGAGGCAACGCCCTGGGACTGCTGTATAAAAAGGGGAGGTG